TCAAAACTCACCCGAGCCCTCGGGGCTCCAAACCAAACATGCATACAACCTTAAAAATATCTTACGGACTTATTCGTGCGATCAAATCGCCAAAATAATATCATATACATAGGATCAAGCCTCAAACACATGATTTTCTTTCTTCAACTTTCATAACTCAAATTCTCCATGTTTAGTCCGAAACACGTCATATGACGTCCGTTTTTAGCCAAACTTTACATATAGTGCTTAACATATATTTAAGACTTGTACCGGGCGTCGGAACCAAAATACGAGCCCGATACCTATATTTTCTAACTCCTTTTCATTTCAAATTTTCATATCAAATTTCAGAAAAAATAATTTCTTTCAAAAATTCATTTCTCGGGCTTGGGACCTCAGAATTTGATTCCGGGTACACGCCCAAGTCCCATATTATTTTACGGACCCTCCGGGACCGTCGAATCACAGGTCCGGGTCCGTTTACCCAAAATATTGACCAAAGTCAACATTATGCATATTAATACCAAAATTCATCAAATGTTTCATATAATTCACATATTCTAACATAAAAACTTTCCGGTTACGCGCTCGAACTGTACACGCCAATCGAGGCAACTAAAAGCGAGGTTTTTAAGGCCTCGAAAGTGCGGAACAAGGAAGAACTACGGTGATAAGGGTCGTCACAATGTCACAATTTAATCATCAAAGTTCGCCCTATTCCAACATCACGATTTCAGGTGTTTTTTTTTTTACTAATATCAACATCTTTTGCTACTTCATATTTTGTAAGCACGTTTGCATGCACCAGTTTTTAGTGTTGTATCAATAATTTATTTTTATTGTTGCATTAATAATTTTTTATTATATAGTTTTTGCTTCATGTTTTTGACTTGGCTAATTTCACATCTCACGAAATTTACAAATTTTATTACAGGTTATTGAAGAATTGCAATTCATCACAAAAAATCGGTTAGACATTCGATTTAAGTCTTATCACTTAAATATTAGTATTATTTATTTCCTTTGTTGTATAATTAATAATACTTATAATTATTATGCTAGCTCAAGTTGCTTGTTTTAAAAAGAATTAAAAATTAGACTATCTGCTTTAATTTGTGTTATATTAATACTACATGATTTGCGTTACTGCAATTTTCATGCTTGAATCACTCAGATTTCAACAATTACATCCGTTCAGGTAAGCGATTTTCCTTACATCATAAAAATAATCAATGATTGAATTAGTCACTTTGATAACTTATAAAACTCTTATGCATACTTTATTTTAGGTACACTTGCAATGGCTAGTGAAAAGGAATTGTTAGATCAATGTGTCCCAATTAATAGTCTAAGAGTATCTGATTCATGTTGGGCAATACGAGTGTTAGTGTTTGGGAGTGGAATAGTAAAAGAGTTCAGCAATAAAACAAATCAAGGCACCCGAAAATTTGTGACATTAGTTGACGAAGATGTAATTGTTATTTTATATCAATATTTTATTCCATGTCTTTTCATATTATAGTTTTAACCATCATATGAACTTACAGTGAAATTTTTTACTGGGAACAAAAATTCACGCTACACTTTTCAATGGTTATATTGAGTTGTGAAAAAACTATTTACAACAAAACAAGATCTGTTATATCATAAACGAACGCATTAATAGTGCAAATCCTAATTTTCAATCAGTGCACAAGGAGCTTGAGATTGGATTTAAGGAAAGTACGTTAGTTGAAAAAAGCAATAGTCGCTTTTCGACCATTGGTTTTTCAAATAATTTTATTTCATTCGATGAGGCATCAAAGTGAACCAATGGAACTTTATTTATAAGAAATTTAGTTAGGGGTATTTTTTGTAAATTGTAGAATTTTTTATTATATTTAACCTTTTTTTATCTGTGAAGGATATTTTTCAATATCTACTACATACGTTAGTAGTATAATGATAAATCCAAAGTTTGAAAAGGCGGTAGCTCTCCAAAAATGGTAATATTTGTTTAGTTTTTTTTTTAAGTTTAAGCAGTCTTAGTGAAATATAGTTATTATTATTTACTAATTACACAATATGAAGGCATGACTACAAGAAGGCAAAAAACATAGATATTAGTTTATTGCCAAGTATACAATTGAAAAATGCTCGAGAAGTAAAGATTGAGGACATCAAAGATGATTCGTTCGACAATAAAGAGGTAAATTCTTCCAACTACTTAATATTTATACTTTTTAAAAATGTCCTATCTAACCTATTTTTTTATATTTATTTGCAGGATACATATTTTAAATTTAATGCAAGAATAAAAGATATAATGAACAAAGACGAACCATAGTATTCTTCTTGCAAAAAATGTTACAAGAAAGTGGACGTTATAGATAATATTGCAAAATGTCATTGTTGTGGCATCGAGAATGTTGATTACCAGGAAAGGTAAAACACATAAAAAAATTCAATTCTTTCTCTACATTTTCACATATCAATAAATAAGCTAATTGTTTGATTATGTATGAATTTGTAGGTATATTCTAAAGCTTGAGGTGTTTGATAAGAAAGAACGTTGTTATGTTACACTGTTTGAATCTAAAGATACTTGCTTGGTTGTGATGTTACAACGTATATACAATCAATATCTCAAAAGGTCATATTGTCTCTTGATTACACCATTACAAAATATACAAATTAGTGACATCTGTGTGGTTTGAATACCTTATCCAATCTTAACTAATTTACTCTTTTTTGTACAGAAAGAAGAATCCAAATTTTAACGCAAATTGGTGTTGAGTCTGGAAAAAAGAGTTTACCTTTCTTGTCAAAATTGATTCCAAAAATGGCGGCGATCGAGATGGAAGACGATTTATTGCGGAGGAGATCCAGGAAGTTGAAAAAATTGCTGCAATTGAAATAGATGAAGAGATACAAACAGAAACAGGAATCAAGAAGACCAAAAAAGTCGAAGAAGACATCAACAACCCAATAATTTGCAAAAAAGTCAAAATTGAAAAGGATTAGTGTTGTTGCATTCTCTAAGAAATATAAGCTCTTTTTTTCCCGCATTCTAGATAGTTATAGATCGTTGAAGTTTCTATTTTCTTTTAAACAATAAGGAATAACTTTTGCTAGCATAACATATATAATATTTAGATATCAATTTTAGTCGGTGTATTCTTTGTACTGTGTGTTTTAGCTGAAGTAGAATACGATATTAACTACTAATTGTATTCCACGGGCTATTATTCATTAACCACATATGGAAAAACAAGGTACATATAAACATAATTAACAAATTATGTTCTTTATAATTTTGTTAATTGCGGCATTAATGTTAAAAAAAATTAGTTCTTTCTATATGTATAGATCAAAGGAATGTTTCTTATGCCATTCGGAGATTTAGCAAATATAATGTTTTACATGCGTCAAAGTCAAATTATGGAAACAACAATATATATGAAGAAGAAAATTCAGGTAAAATTACTATTAGCCTATAGCAGTTTCCTTGGCAAAATTCACTTCGAGCTGCATATTTTAACATATTACAACAGATCAATACATAATCACTTTTATTCATGTATGTGTATTAATTGTTTTTAAATAATTTTGGCTCCACTAAAATATTATAAGCTAAAAATGTTTATTTACTGCAACTTCTGCAAATGAAATTCTATTTTATTATAACATAAATCAATTTAATTGTTGGGCCCATTATCCATCTAAAATCCTACTATAAATTCGTTCCCCTTTACGTAGTTTTACGTACTCACATTTGATTTCAGTTAACAAGTGTGGTTATCATATCTGTGAAGGCCCTGGTACTTATACAACTCTGGTTGATCGTCTGTATGATTTTTGTCGGTGGTTGATATGTTGTGCATTAAATGTTTTGTTTTACCATCTGAAGTTAAAACTAGTCATTTCTTGTGGATGCTTTTCCATTCTGACATATATAGTATAACCATTGACCATAGAAGAATGTCAAAGATGCTTGAGAAGTTTGCCTTTGAAAAACATAACGTATCAGCATGTGGAGTCCATCTTAATTAATAGTATGGTCATTGACCATCTTATGTTTTTCATACTCAAATGGAACAAGTCCTCATGCACCTTGTCCGATCTTCATATAGCCTATTCCGCAAGTGTCCATGTAGGATACCAATTATTCAGACAGATAAGCCATTTAAGCTTGGACTGTTGACTACGGTAGCATCGATCATAGAAGCACGGAGGTTAAAATCATCGGCGTTAAATGCTATAGTTGTGGCGCCCGTAGCGACGGCTTTGTCACTCTCATATTTAGCTTTCACCGATACCTTCATCATTTTTTCCATAATTGTTTTTTAAGGACCTTGTCTTTTTTTTCTTCTATTTATGAACCTTCGCATGTCGTCAATTATTTTAAATATAATTAGTAGAATTTACTTTGGATCTAAAATATGCTTCTTATTTTTGGAAAATCTTGACTCAATCAATAGAAGATATTGATATTAAAGAAAGAAGACCAAGGAAGCAATGCAGGATAAATTGGTTTTTGAAGGCTCTATCAAAAGAGTGTGAAATTGAAGGTAATATGCAGTACTAAATTATCCAGCAAAATTACTTACATTTTATTTGTGTTCGAGTTATTACCTTCTATTATTCATAACATTTGGCTACATTAATATAGGTGAAATTGTCTCTAAACCATCTACATCCTGTACTTAGAAGTTGGAAAATGTTCCCGATTGCATTCATTGTCACGCTATGAGGTTTCAGCATGAAACTCCAACATCTTGTTGCGGAGAGGAATCAGTAAGATTGGTAAATACTGAAGTTTCAATACAATTATACGAGTTACTTGTTGACGAGTCAGACGAAGCAAAAGAGTTCCATCGAAACATTAGAGCATATAATAGTATATTTGCATTTACGTCTTTTGGTGTTAGACTTGACAAAGAACTTGCATCTTCAAGGAAAGGAGTTTACACCTTTAAGGCACAAGGTCAAATTTATCACGATCTTCCGTCATTGCTTCTACATGAGGATAATCCATGTTATTTTCAGTTATATTTTTTTGACACGGACAATAAATTATGCAATCGGATTTCAAAATTGCAAGAAGCCAACTTATCAAGAAGTTGTGACAAAAATTAGGCAGCTAATGGATGGGAACCCTTATGCACAATTCTTTTGCCAGCTAAAGGATCATTCAAGCTTCCAAGATTTACAAATTCGAATTGTTGCCAATGCTACACTGGATCAACATGTCTACAACAAATCATCAGTAGATCAAATTGCTGTAATTTGAATAGATGGAAACAATCCAAATGTACCATTCGATAGAGAGATTATTGTTCATGAGCATTCCGGCAACAAATATAGAGTCAAACATTATTATGGTTGCTATGGCCCACTCCAATATCCTCTGCTTTTTCCAAATGGAGAGGTTGGCTGGCACCAAGGAATGCACAAATATAAATCAAAAAGAGGTGCAAGTACATCTGAAGTTGCTAATGTAAGCCAGAATGTCCCAACATACACGTCCGCTAATGAGGTGTTTCACAAAGAGGAGCAAGGTAAAGTATTGCAATTAAATTACGTATCACTTTAGTTTTCTTATTTAAATATTACCTACACTAATAGATATGACTTATTTTTGTAGGTGTACGTCGTAAATCTAAATCATGTGTGTCTTCTAGAGAGTATTATTGCTATAAATTTCAAATACGCAAAGGAGAAAAGACAATACTACTATTGTGCGGACGGTTATTGCAGCAATTTGTGATTGACATGTATATCAAGTTAGAAACAACAAGCCTTGAATTCTTTAGATTAGAGAAAGCACTACTTATAAGGGAAATATTGCAAGGTATAGTTGATAGTATCATGGCTGCAGAATATAGAGGAGATAAAGTTGGCCAAAGAGTAATATTGCCGGCATCATTCATCGGAGGCCCTAGAGATATGCGCCGTAGGTATATGGATGCAATGGCTTTGGTTCAACATTTTGGAAAACCAGATTTATTTATCACAAGGATATGTAATCCCGATTGGGCGGAGATCAAGGAGAATCTATGCGAAGGACAACTTGCAGAAGATAGACCAGACTTAGTGACTAGAGTTTTTAGGGCAAAATTACAAGATTTAAAGGATCGGATTTTCAAGAAAAAAATATTTGGTCCTGTTGCGGCACATGTCTTTGTGGTTGAATTCCAAAAAAGAGGCCTACCACACATACACCTTTTGATAATACTTGAACAAGGGTACAAGATAATATCAGCAGACCAATATGACAAGTTTATTTCTACGGAACTTCCTGATGAAGAAGAATATCCACTCTTGCATGACTTAGTTGTCAAGCATATGATGCATGGTCCATGTGGAAAACATCATCCAACAAATTCATGCATGAAGGATGGTCAATGCATGAATCACTATCCTAGGCCATTTAGTAATAAATCAATACAAGGAAAGGATGGATACCCTATTTATAAGAGAAGAAATGATGGAAAGACCGTAAATGTTCGTGGCATGAGAATGAATACTCAGTGGGTTGTGCCATATAATCCTTACTTACTAACTAGATACAATTGTCATATTAATGTGGAGTCTTGCTCTGGAGTGAAAGCAATCAAGTATCTCTACAAGTATATATATATATATAAAGGGCATGATAGGTATGATGTTTATGTTGAATCAGATGATGGCGAAAAAGTAGTTGATGAAATCCAAAATTTTCAAGACGCACGTTGGATGTCTCCGCCAGAAGCACTATGGAGAATTTATGAATTCAATCTCAGTGAAATAAAACCTCCTGTCATTAACCTTCAACTACATCTCCCGGATAGACAAACAAGTAAATATTTATCTCTAACAAGGTTAATTAAAACTTTTGATGAAATAAATAACTATACAAGTTTTGTGAAATGGCAATACACAGTGTGCATTTGGAGCAAGCAAAATTTGCAAAATGTGATTGCGTGGGAATATGCGACGCTAACCATGCTCACGGAGTATTTTCGGACATGCTCGAGGGATACTGATCACGACAATACCTATACAAAGAATTTCAAGAGTATTATGTGTGGAACTCACAGGGAAAGATATGGACAAAAAGAAAAACAAGAACAGTTATTGGTCTAATTGCTACTGGTAAGATGATCTATCTATTCTCTTTCAGATAAATCTTGATGAAGTTAATAATTTGAAACAATATTAGTCTTGTAGGATTGGGCACTTTCTGTTTGATAAACTAAAACAATTAAGGCATCAACCAAATAATACGCAGTCAAGGATCTGATATACAGACCATCAAAAAACAGAAGTCAGGGGTAGAAAATTCACAACATAAATGTGAGTTTCAGAATGTAGCCAATCCTAAACCCAAATAAATGAGGAGGGTAATGACAGGTTGACGCCAGCGCAAAAATAGTCAAAAGTATAACGAAGCTGTGATTTATAGTCTGGAAACAAATACGAGTCCTTTGGAACTATTTATGCAAAATAGAATCGGGCTATTACTTAAAGTTCTAATCAAATAAGAACAAGAATCAGTAAATCTAGGGAGAAATTCAAAAATAGCCAGCTTTACAATTGGTCGTTCAAAAATAGCCCAGTTTCAAAAGTAATAGAAATTTAGCCAATTTTCATGTAAAGATAAATCTGAGCAAAAACACTGTTCAAAGCCCGAAAAATATGCCAGCATATTATACTGGAGTTCCAGGATAAGTATGCTGGAACTCCAACATAATATGATGGAGTTCCAGCATAAGTACACTAGAACTCGAGCATAATATACTGGAGTTCCAGCAAGTATAATTGTCCAGTATATTATACTGGAGTCAGCAAAGTATACCGGTCCAGCATAATATGCTGGAGTTCATATACAGGTGCACCAAACTCTAGTATATTATGCTGGACCGGTCTCTGTTGCAGCAAAATAATGGCTATTTTTCATTGACTTCGTAAAGGCTGGCTATTTTTGAATGATCAGTCCAAAAACTGACTACACCGTGCTATTTTTACGTAAATCTAGATAGTTTTTTCCGGGGGTCCTATTCCTTTTACTGCAATATGGCTATATAGCAGTCTATAAGAGTTCATCATTATTTCTTAGAGCTGAATCCATTAGCTTTGTTACACGATTGATTGAAATAAAATACGATACAATGACTTCAACTAATGCCTAATCTATTTTTGGCATATGGCCGAGTTGAAGTTACCGTGATGAAGATACTAAATGGAAAATATTTTTTGTGCTGCATACAAAAATAATATATACAAATGTGTATAATGCAAAATTATCAAAAACTATTTTCACTTGTCTACAGCAAAGTTAGAAGCTGGTGTTATACGTTTCTTGATAAACATATTTCAATTCTTATCAGCTAAGAATATTCTAAGGCTTCAACAAGAATTCAGAATCCAACATGTTTAAATAACGACACTTCTTTTAAGTAAAGAAAGAATATATTCATTCATTGACTTGGCAACATTATACTGACAGTCTGTACCCTGCTGTATTTTATCTGGATAAATGATAATGATTAGTCTCAATAGTTAATATAGAATTTTGCTCAATGTTATAGCTAATCCTAGAGAAGGTGAAAGGTATTATTTGAGATTATTGTTGAATCACGTCAGAGGACCCTTATCGTTTAATGACTTGCTAACTGTTAATGGAAGAGAGTGTGAAACATTCAAAGAAGCTGCAAAGAAAAGAGGTTTATTAGAATCAGACAACAGTATTTCAGAATGCTTACGTGAAGCGGTCCTCTTCAAAAAGCCATCAGCGCTGAGAAATTTATTTGCAACAATTTTGGTTCATTGTAATCCAACGGACATCAAGAAGCTCTGGAAAATCTATTACGAAGATATGTCAGAAGATTTTAGAAAAATACATGATAATTCTCCTGTTGCTCAACTCCAATGCACGTTGAAGAGCATCAATTATTTCTTAGAGAGCATGGGCAAGAAAATTGACAAATATGACTTACCTAAACTTGATCATAGGAGGGATAATGGTAATGTATCGGAATGCAAAGAATAATATATGAAAGGTCTATAAATGTATCGCTCGAAGATTTTGATGCACAACCAAAATTAAATCCTGAACAAGAACAAGCTTTCAAGACTATATTAGAGAGAGTCGACTCTAGCAGAGCGTGATTGTTCTTTGTGGATGGACCTGGAGGAACTGAAAAAACATTCCTATATCGTGCATTGATTGCAAATCTCATATCAAGAGGCATGATAGCTTTAGCAACGACAACAAGTGGTGTAGCATCTGCAATTTTACCCGGAGGTCGTACAGCTCACTCTAGATTCGACATCCCTCTTCAGACAACTGATACAACGATCACAGATATGTCAAAACAGAGTGGTGGTGCTACATTGATAAGAAAATCAAAGCTAATAATTTGGGATGAAGCAACTATGACCAATCGTCAGACGATTGAAAGTTGATAGGAGCTTCAGAGATATAATGGATATTAATGAACCCTTTGGTGGAAAAGTGATGGTCTTCGGAGGTGATTTTTGTCAAGTACTACAAGTAGTTCCAAAATCTACCAGAGATGAAACAGTAAATACAAGCTTGGTAAAATCATATTTGTGGAATAAAATAAAAAAGATTCAATTAATAAGAAATATGAGGGCAAGAGCAGATCCAACATTCAGCAATTTCTTACTACGGATCGGTAATGGAGAGGAACCTACAATAAGAGATGATATGGTCCTTCTTCCAGAAAATTTAATCGTCAAACATGATGGTGATAGTACTAGTGAAGATAATTTAATAAGAGAAATATTTTCATCTCTAGATGAAATGTCAAGTTGTGCAAAATACATGACAGAAAGGGCTATCTTGGCTAGCGGAAATGAGTATGTTGATCAACTAAATGAGATGTTAATTGCTAAATTTCCTGGTGAAAGCCAAACTTTTTTGATTTTTGACTCCGCAGAGGATGATACTAACAACTACTACCAGGAAAAGTACTTAAATACTTTAACACCAAGTGGCCTTCCACCACACAGGTTTGTGTCAAATTGCTATTCTCTATCTTTCTGTGAATTCATTGTGTACTAGAACTGAAAATATAAAAAGAATCTCTCGATATATTTTTAATTGAGATAAATTTATTAAACTTACCGTAATCCTATTATGTATACTCATGCAAATTCATCTTATACAATTTTTCCTTCAGAGTTTTACACAAAAGTTGCATGTGTTCCTTTTAGTTCTAAGAGTACTCAGTTCTGTTATTGAAGTCAATATTTGAAACTTATAGCAAATGTAACATTCAGGATAGACAAAAAAAATAGTATATCATTATGAGAATTGGGAATTATATAAATATATACAATTACATACAGTAACTTCATCTTTACAATCTACAATTGCAGATTTATTTGAATATTTTAGAGTTTGCAGGTTATTATTTTTTTGTGTGAAGGGTGGGTTTTTTTTTTTTGGATTTTTCTATAATTTCTAAAATATTCTGTTTGAAACATTCTACGTAACTGTCAAGGAAATAAAGACAAAGTAACATACTTCATCCTTAGACCCGGTAATTTTAGCGTTACTGTAATAAAGTATGTCTATTTCTCTGTCGTCTTCCTTGTGCGCCTTTTTATACTCAAAATCAAGCAAAAAATGGACATCAAGGATGAATAATTCTAATTATCTTGGTAGCTTGCAAAGCAGCTAAAGGAATTAAAAAAGAAAAGAAAAGAAAAGAAAGAGTATTATGAAATCATTTGGATGATAACCTGAACTTCTGCTTGTTATGTTTAGAGATATTATTTGTTGTTTGATAGGTTGGTTTTAAAGAAAAATGCTTCGATCATGTTATTAAGAAATTTGGACCCGGCAAATGGCTTATGTAATGGTACAAGAATGATATGTAGAGGCTTTGACAATAACGTCATCCATGCAGAAATAATGATGGGCGAAAATGCTTCCAAACATGTGTTTATTCCCAGAATTCAACTTTCGCCTCCAGAAAATGAAGGTTACCCTTTCAAATTCATCAGAAAACAATTTCCAGTACGGCTAAGCTTTTCGATGACAATAAATGAAGCACAAGGACAAACAATACCTAATGTTGGAATGTACTTACCGCAACACATATTCTCGCATAGACAACTATATGTTGCACTCTCAAGGGGAATATCTATGTCAACAACAAAGGTTTTAGTCTTGACCTAGCAGCCGAAGCGAAAAAAAGGAACATATACCAAGAACATCGTCTATAAAGAGATATTAGGTAAGATTCACCACCACAACATAGCAATATCATAGAAACATATTTGTATGATGATCTGTTGTTATTCTTCAAGCAATATTTTCTTTTTTATGAAACTTCCTCAACTATACACAATTTAATTATACATATTATAAATGAATTTTACATATATTACAACTATATAATTATATTTACTATTTTGTCCAGTGTAAAATTTCGGAACAAATGAGGCTGTTATGGAGAGGTTTGACTGTAATCCATTACATTCAATCCTTACATATTCGAAAGTATACACAATTTAACTATACATATTATACATGAATTGTACATATATTACAACTATATAATTATATTTACTATTTTGTCCAGTGTAAAATTTTGGAATAAATGAGGCTGTTATGGAGAGGTTTGACTGTAATCCATTACATTCAATCCTTACATATTCGAAAAATAATAATAAAGTAAATTTTAATTGAATTTGAAGACCTAATATTAGGATCTTCTTAAATAAAATTTTAGTGATTTTGAAGTCCTAAATATTCGAAAAATAATTAAATGACTATTTTGTCTGGTGTGAAATTAATTTTTAAGGGATAAAAAAAGGCGAACGATATTTCGATAGGGACTTTATAGTATAGATATAGATGAATTTAGGCTTGTATAATTTTTTTATTCTTAAATATGATATTGAATAATTATTTTGGGTGCTTAATTGAACATGAATTAATTACTTTATATGATTAAATAAGAATACTTAAAAATACATATTTAATTATTCTACATTGAAATAATTTTACTTAGAAGTTACTGTATTAAATAATGTTAATTTAATGTATGTGATTTTATGTCTCCATTTTTTAATTTTTAATTAGTAATTAATTGAAGTCGCCATCATTCTCATCTTGATTTTATACGTATTGCACAAAGGATGTATTGTCTATTAGTATAATTTACATAAGGTAAAATATTTATTGATTTTAAATTCCTAAATATTAGTACTTCCTACCTATTTTAATAGGGAAAGATTTAATATAAAAATTTTTAGTTGATTTCAAAATCCTAAACATTAGGAAATTAACCAAAGTTATCAATTTGTCCATTGTAAAAGTTATTGTTTAAGGGTAAAAGATGAACGACATTTACTATTTTCTGGCCGTGCAATATAATAGAAATAAATTATATATATATATTTTATCTGAGAGAAATAATTTGGTACATGATTTTTTTTCTTTTTCCGATTCACACCCTCGTCCTCCCTTTCTTTTAGCCAAACGTATATTAAAAAAACCTCCTAAGTAAAAGGATTGAATGCAATGGATTACAGTCAAGATGAGAACAATGACGACTTCAATTAATTACTAATTAAAAATTAAAAAATGGAGACATAAAATCACATACATTAAATTAAAATTATTTAATACAGTAACTTCTAAGTAAAATTATTTCAATGCAGAATAATTAAATATGTATTTTAAGTATTCTTATTTAATCATATAAAGTAATTAATTCATGTTCAATTAAGCACCCAAAATAATTATTCAATATCATATTTAAGAATAAAAAAATTATACAAGCCTAAATTCATCTATATCTATACTATAAAGTCCCTATCGAAATATCATTCGCCTTTTTTTATCCTTAAAAATTAATTTCACACCAGACAAAATAGTCATTTAATTATTTTTCGAATATTTAGGACTTCAAAATCAACTAAAATTTTATTTAAGAAGATCCTAATATTAGGTCTTCAAATTCAATTAAAATTTACTTTATTATTATTTTTCCTTCTTTGACCAGTTTTTATAAATATACTTTTGGAGTTTAGTATGTGACCATTAAAGTTTTTTTAATTCTTGGCCTCTAAGGTATATAATAGTATTTTTTTCCTCCAAATTGCCAATAATTGATTGCCTAAAATATGGAACATCCATCAGCAATGTATATTCGCTTTTTCCTATTAAATTTTTAAGAGTTTTGATTTAATCTTAACTTTAAATTTCTAGAAGTCTGAACTAATATGGTGTTAATTTAGAAATAAATTAAGCTACCACCATACTATGTGAATGTGCAACTATAGTTAATATTTTAAACCTAAGTTAAATTAATGTATTTGGAACTCTTGAAATAACTATAAATTTGTCATCCCCCCACCCCCTCACCCTCTGATAATTTTGAAAAATTGACCTCTACATTGTGAACTCTTGAAATTTCAAAATTGTTATTAGCAGAGTACATCCGGAGTGAGTTTAGGATGGTATTGACTATTGCATGAAGTAAATTTAGACTTAAATCAATAAGAATTCAGGCAACTTTTTTTACACAAGAAAAGGTTCATTTGGCTATAATTTTGATTAACTTTGAATGAAGAACTTTTTTTTGTATAACGACATTATGAACGTAAAGTTTACAAAGAGATGTTGGATGAGATATAACAACATAGCATATTTGTATCTAATATAATAAAATATTTATAGCGATAAATACTATAGAATTCATTACACTAACCTCACTCGGAAAATGTTGAATTCAGCTATATATTATATCAATGTAGTAATATTTTTTTCATCATTTAAACATATATTGCGTTTAGTTTTAACTCCATTGCTATTTTTTAATAATTTGTATATATTTTATATTGATTAACGTGATGCACACGTTCAACGCACGTACACTAAAACTAGTATGACTAAATGACCAAAGACCAAGCTTTTCTTAAAGTGTTTGGTAAGCATATATATGACTAATATGACTAAATGAATGTCACGACCTTAAACCCGGACCCGGTCGTGATGGCGCCTCTCGTGAAGACAAGTCCAGCCGACACATTCCCACTTCATTTTAAGCAATTAAAATAATAATATTAAGTCTTTAACATGATAAAATCCCGAATAAGCAGTGAACAGTACAATTTGCAAAATTAAAAGCAACACAGCCCGACATCGGGGTGTCACCAGTTATGAGCATCTATCAATATACTACAAGTCTGAAGAGCCTACTAAGCTATTACAGAATCACTAACAAGAGAAGAGAAATAAGATATAGGGGAGAAATACGGGGCTGCGAACGTCGGGCAGCTACCTCGTGAACTCCGAAATCTACCGGGAGCTCTCAACCCTTGCAAGCAGGACCTGCAGCGCCTGAATCTGCACACGGGGTGCAGGGAGTAAAGTGATTACTCCAACTCAGTGAGTAATAATAATAAATGAAGACTGAGAAATAAGAAATCACGTAAGGCACATCATAGGCTATAAGGAAGCAGTAAAAGCCAGTAAAAGTAATGAAATAGTGAAAATATGCAAAGTCACTTTAGTTTAGTTTAAGCTTCTTAAAATGCCTTTTTAAACAGTTAAGCAAGTAAAAGACAGGCAACTAGAAAAGGAAACACATAAAGAAATGCCCCTCGGGCAAAATACCAATAGAATCAGCCCCTTGGGCAACACATGGAACAATAACCAGCCCCTCGGGCTATATCTTATATCACAATGGGTACCCGCGCTCACTAGGGGTGTGTAGACTCCTGTAGGGTCCCCTTACGGTCCAACCACAATATCAAGCCATCTCATGGAATAATCACATAGTCTCTCGGCCTCATATCAACAAGCAACCTCGTGGCGTACAAATCTCAGGTCTTCGGCCTCATAATCATAATTAGTGTTTTCTCACAACATAGGCCCTCGGCCTTACTGAGTCAGAATCTCATAAGCCACTCGGGCAACAGTAAAACATGATGCTCAGCCCAAATATATATCATTTTAAGTGTTAAAGCAGAGTAAACATGGCTGAGTTATGAAAACAGTAGAATATAGCATGACTGAGTACAAGTATAAAGTCAAAACGGTGAGAAAATATCAAAAAAAGTCCCCTAAGGATTCAAATAGTTGGGACGAGGCCCAAATATGGCATTCCGCCCAAAACATGATGATAACAAATAGTTTTTCATTCAAATATGCGGTAAAACCGTCATACGGGATGGACTAAGTCACAATCCCCAACGGTGCACGACCCCACGCTCGTCATCTAGCGTGTGCGCCGCCTCAATATAGCACCACGATGTGCAATCCGGGGTTTCATACCCTCAGAACAACATTTAAAATCATTACTCACCTCAATCCGGTGCAAACTCTTGCCTGCGACGCCTTTGCCCCTCGAATCGGCCTTAACTCGCGTCGAATCTATCCAAAATCAGAATCACAACGTCAAAATATGCTAAGAAAATGAAGCCCATACGAAAATAATCAATTTACAACATAAATCCCAAAATTACCAAAACCCGACCCCAGGGCCCACATCTCGAAATTCGATAAAATTTACATCAATAGATTCCTTATCTTCCCACGAGTTCATACATAACAAAAGTCCCAAATCTGACCACAAATGGCCCCTCAAATCCTCAAGTCTAGGTCTTCAATACCAAGCCCTAGTTTCCCAATTCAAACCCTTAATTTCCATTAATTACAGCCCAAATCCGCGAAATAATACCATAGGATCGATTATAGGACTCAAAAATCTTACCTCCAGACGATATCCGTTGATTCCCTCTTCAAAATCTTCCAAAAAGCTCCAAAACCGACTTGAAATTGTGAAGAACAACTCCAAAATCGCGAAGGATTGGTTTTATACCTTCTGGCCCAGAGATTTCGCATATGCGGCCAAAATCCCGCTCCTGTGGTTCCGCTTTTGCGGTCTATGAACCGCTTCTGCGGTCCTCACTTATACCTAAGCTTCCGCATTAGCGATGCACATTCTGCACCTTCGCCATCGCAGGTGTGGTCTCAAAACCACTTCTGCGGTTTCTACCTTCCTAGGATCTTCCGCTTCTGCGAATCCACCTTTGCTCCTGTGAGACCGCACCTGCGGTCCCCTAGCCGTATGTGCGGTTATGACAGCAATGGGAAACTTCAGCTGCCACAACCCAACTCCAAATTTTCCGCCAACCAACCGAAATCACCCTGAGGCCCTCGGG